CCATCAAAACAATTGGCGTCAAAGACCTTGGAAGCTATGAACCGGATGCTGCATTGGTCTCTGCACATGTCACCTGATCTGCAATGCATCGCCCTCTTGAATCTAGAATGATGTAGATTTATTTCGCTTCTTGAAATCTATCAGCCAATCCAATGCGCTTTCGCGGAGGCTTGCACGCGACGCGGCGCATAACAAAAGTCCATAGGGCTGAGACTGGCCGGGCTTACTCTTAAGTCGGGATTCGTGGCTGTGGCTGCTTTTCAAGCAGAGACATGAATATCCGTTGTCTCAAGCCAGAGACTACGAGTCATGGAGAACATCACTGAATGAATCGGTTGCAAATCGCCATTGCAGTGTCTTGACTGCGAAATTGCACTGATTCTGACGCAAAAGCACCCACATCAAAGGTCTTCTTGTTGGGATCTTGGTTGAGACAGGCATTATGCACGATAGAAGCATTGGCCGTGTCTTAACCAGCCTTATCACAGGTAGCCTGGCCCTCCTGAGACATCGATGAGAATGGCTGGGCCCATGGCTCTGGGGACCTGTCCAGCTGAAAACACGTAATGCATGCTTGCGAAGAATGCTGGCATTCTGACCTCAGAAGCCCGTAAACTCAATGACTCGTTCCTTGCCGATCAAGGGTAAGACTGTTTCACGCAACGAATTTCTACTAATTTGCCCGGTAAAGCTACACTGGTTTACCTATTTTGGCCCAGAATCGAGGCTCAGAGTGAGGCCTAGCGACGAATACTTCCAGCGGCCACTGTTTCTTGATGAGAGTCTCTGGCTCTCCATGTCCCTCGATCTTACTGACTGTTCGATAGTTCTTTTCCAGGAGCCAAGGCTGCTTCTTACGTTTCCCCCAAAAAGCCGGTATCCCCTCCGCCACAAGTGTGATGGTCTCCTCAACTTCCACGCGACACTCCCGTTTTAGCTACTCCCAGCTTTTACTCTGTAAGCGCTTCCTAGATCCCATTGCAGCATCCAGATTGTATGGTTGTAGAAAGAACTTTCGAGAATTTCTGCCATCCATCATATCGATGGAGGAGCGTAGTATTCAGAGGTAAGACTTACCTCATGTGCTCATTTGCATCCACAAGCTTGGCTCCCAAGTACAACATATTCTACCTGAGCCTTCATACAGCGGTAATACTGATGAACGTGTCAATATTAGGGCTCACAAGCGACGGGATCGAATACGGAAAAGGAAGATGGAAGCACTATCTAGAGTAGAGTTCTTCTTCAACCAAGGAAATGGGGGTGATGCTATAAGAGACATGTCATTGATGCGTACGAGTATCCTTGAGAGTCCCGGAGCGCGTCAAGAGAGAATTACCAAGGAGATAGAAGAATTATCGACGCAGTTGCACGGCATTCTCGATACTATCACGGTTGAGGAAGGTAGCTGCACTCTTCTACAAGCAGATCTTTTGGGGCTCGGGTGCCAATTTTCAAAGCATGACTAGATTCATAGACTATAGGTAGAGCTTGTAGTGCGACAGGTTTGCCCCCAATGGCTTGTTTGCTACAATTGAGGACAAGGACTAAGTAGGTAACAATAACCGACCCTGTGCTATCACCCTGAAAACCCTTGCTACGTGATGGACATAGACTTCTTGAGAAGCAATCTTCCATAGTTTCTTTGTAAGTACACTTCCTATCTTTTCCTAGCTTAGCCGTCTAGGATATCTAGAATATGAAGGACAATCTACAGGGACAAGGACGTTGTCAAATTTGGCTCAACAGGGACCCGTTCTAGTTCAGTGAACTCTAAATTAGTTCATGGTATCCTTGGATGGGATCAGTGGGGCTTGATACCCACCACCCCATCACCATTCAAGTTCCACCATGTGTTGCATGGAACCCTAGTCCATCGTCTAGAGCTTCTCATTTTCCCAAATCCAACGAGGGATAATGGTCTTCAGACGAAAAACCTTCCGTAGATTAGCTGGTGACTCACGAGCTCACGTGTGCTTACAACGACGGGGCAATGTACTACCCGAAGTTGAACGACCAATATCTGAGCCACGTGCGCAACGTCGGGCACTTTCGGGAGTCTAGCCCGATGCGACCAAATCATTCGCGATCTTCATGCCAACGCCGCATCCTTCCGGACCGACATAAGCACTATGATCTTGGACAAAAATTACATAAATACAAGCCCCATCCGCAGTGTGCATAGTTGGAGGACCTTCGAGGCGCTAGCGCTTTACACATGCATCCGCCATGATGTCAATATCATACATCAAGTCATTGCTGTTTGGGAACAGCAACACAGGAGTGATTACAGCGGAATTATCACCTCCGCCTTTGGGTCCGAGATTGGTTCCAGAGCCCGATACCTCTGACACCTTCACGCTGCCCGATGGACGAAAACTCGGGTATTCGCAGTTTGGACTCGCGACGGGTAAACCGATCCTCTATTGTCATGGCCTCCCAGGCTCGCGTGTCGAAGCTGGCCACCTTCACAAAGCAGCCTTGGATGTAGGAGCTCGAATCATTGCAACGGATCGTCCGGGAATGGGACTTAGCACTCCTCAACCCGGACGAACACTACTCGACCACGCCAAAGACTTGGAACACCTTGCGACGCATTTGATGCTGAAGGAATACGGGGTTCTGGTAAGTTTGTAAACCGCTCGTACTGTGACTTTGTTGCTAAAGCTTGGTAGGGCGTGTCTGGAGGCGGTCCATACGCACTAGCGTGCGCAACCTCAATGCCTTGCGAGAAGCTCAAATGCGTATCCATCGTCTGCGGTATCGGGCCGCCCGACATCGGCATGAGCGGAGCCGGATGGTTCCACTGGGTCGGGTTCAACTACGGGTGGCGCTACGTCCCTCGAATCGCCGGATGGTTCTTCCATCAGCAAGGGCGCTTTCATCTCTCGGACGAAGAACGACTCGAACGACAACTCCAGGATGCGGAAAAGAAGAAAACAACCTTTCCGAAGCAAGAAACTGGGATCTGGACGGACAGAGAGATTGTAGGGCGAATGGTCATGGCAAGTCGACAGTACTACGCTCAGGGGATTGATGGCGTAACCAATGATGGTCACCTGATTGGCACGGAGTTTGGATTCCGTATCGAGGATATTCGGTCTGATTTGCCTATAAGGCTCTGGTATGGTAAACATGACACGTTTGTCCCCATGAATCACGGAATACAAATTGCAAAGCGGCTGGGAAGTAGTGCTAGCCTCAGAATCGAAGACGACACACATGCCAGCATCTTCTTCAATCGGAGAAAGGAAGTGTTGGCGGATTTGGTCGAAAATATTTGAAGCCATTTTTTTGGCTTTGCTCTGTATATTTCATCTCACTTCTTTAGACATGAATTACCCTCTCAGCTTATTTACTCTTGTTACAGGTGTTGAGAAAGGGGCGAGTTATATGACAACACCCAGGCCAATGATCCGTATGTTTGTGAGCCGTGGATCTGGCCCATCTGTCAAATTTCACCATCCCTATCATTAACCGTGAAGCACTTCACTTGCGTTACTTTGAAGCACCAAAGGTTTCCTCGTGGTTCTTTCAGGTCATATCCATTCTTGCCCACTACATTAGAAAAGTTCCATCGTTTCTTGATTTGATGTGAGATGGCTATAAAATTCAACTCCCAAAGATAGCATGAATTGACAACCTTTCTTGACTCCGGCATGTTACAACGGCCTGAATGTTTCCATTAGGAAGTTTCGAGTTAACGAAGAAGAAGTTTGTATGATTTTACGCGATATACCCAACGTTTACTTCACTTTGTTATAGGAGAACACACGGCAATGCAAAAGTTGACAGCCTGTTTGCACCAACTGAACATGTCAATCAATTGCCATCACGCAAGTCTTTTAGGCTTCCCAAGAGGAAAGACACTTAAATGTTATACCTTCTTCATACCAGTTGGCCAGATCATCAGAGTTCTCTCTAGAGGATCAAACAGCACCTCAAGAGCTTGCGACCACAATTCTGCCACCCTAGAGCCATGCAGAAAATAAGAAAGCGTAGGTTTTCGGATGCCAGAATACTCGTCACTGACTTGTGGTGCGTGCTTGTTTGGGCAAGTAACCAAGACGCCATTCTGTGTCTCAAGACCAGGGATTTAGTAATGGTTCTGAACGAGCGTCTTTACCAACGTTGCGGCAATGTTGTTTTTTGACGCTGCTATCTTACGCCACGGGGTGGAAGTGAGAATTCGAGCGTCAGTTGTGGGCGCAACGGTCGACTGCCTTCGAATCGTACCGGGGTCAAGTAGGGACCGCTCATAAAGGCGCTGGATGAACGGGCGCGGAAGGGTAGATAGCAGACAGTCGCACAAGGAAAAGTTGGCGAAATAACAAGCTTGGGTCAGGTAAGTTGCAGCCCAGTTTTGAAAATTGGAACATCGTTTGGCGCGCTGGTTACGTCGGGAATGTGGGCGCCAAATGGCAACCCTTCACCCATTTACCTTATCGAGATGTCAGCAGGCTGTTGGCTTCAGCTGCCTGCTGAGCTTTGCACCAAGGTGCCAAAATCATCATGCTCTGACACCCACGCACCAACACCGTACGGTGTGAGTTGAACCACTTTCACACGTTGATTGAACGCCTGTCCCTCACCCTGACCATGCGGGATCGAACGCAAGTCAGGGCGACGAAGTGATTGGATGCTGATGCTCCCCTCAGTTTCTGTTCCACGTTCGAAAGAATCCCGTAGAAGACCCGCTGCGTCGTTCCTCTCACCATTTTCCCACTCTCTTATCCCAAAAGCTAGCTAAAGCGGATCCGTTTCTCTTTCCCACACACGCCCCCCCGCCCTGCCCCAGTCTCCTCCCCCTCCCCATACCAGTTTCACATCTCCCCCATGTTCACCCAGTCCCTGGGCCCTTCTCTATTTCCTTTCCGTTTACACAAGGCCTGCAAATAGATACGTATCCAAGAGCACTAGCGGAGAGACGTATGCTCCTCCCACCCAGCTCTTTAAAATGGCCCCAAGCTGTTCTCAGGAAAGCGCTGACTCTTCAACCAATGAAGCACAACGACATGGTACAGGCCAACAGTAGCCTCTCCCACAGTCGCCGCCTCGGCGGTGCCCTCAACATTCCCATGTCCCCCGTTGTATTGGCGAAGGCTTTTGACAAACTTCAATACGATTTGCGATACTCTGGAAATGCATCAAGTGATGTTCCAAGCGCACAACAGCAACACATCAGCGACATAAACGAAGAAGTCTAGGGCCAAAGTTCTGCTACAGTCAGAAGTTGAGTTGAAGCGGCTGTAGGAGTTCACGTGGGACACAAATTCGACTTGGATCAAGGATCAAGCTCTATGGTTGAACCTCGTCATTCAATACCCAGAAACGGCTAAGTTGTCGGGCCACATGAGCCGAAAACGAGACTGAGTCCAAAATTCTTCCCAGCCTGGTTCAAGGTATCTCTCATCCGCCGCACTTTGATACCGGGGCTCCAATAGGGCACCAAGATTACGGCAAGCTCTCATTGGGAGCCGCGAGCTCCACCGCTGAGGCAGTATCAGCAGTCTACAAGTCAATCTTTCCCAGAGCGCGAGGTACTTGACTAAAAGTCCAGCAATAGAGACACGCCTCTCACTCAAAAATTGTCGTCTGTGTTCCGTCCCAAGAGTGGTGCTCTATGTAAATTGGAGCCAGGTTCTGTATGCTCGTACGCTAAAGCAAGCCAACCACCCCTGCCACCCCTGTCCTTCTCTGCAGCAGGGGACAGGGGTCCAAAAGGGAGCTGCGTTGCTTCCTCCGGCCGACCAGGCCACCATAATCCGGTGCGAGACTGCGAGACCTTGGACTGCCACCCCCTGTAGACCTCTTTCGCGCAATTCCCACTCCTCCCTTCTCCTCTGCCACAAAAACTAGGAAACGCAGCATACATTTAAATACCACGCCGTCCGCTGATGAAAAGTCCAGCAAGATTCTGGCATTCAACTGACATCCTGTGGCTCTTTCTATTTGGATGAACTTTCCTTCTCAGCTACTCTATTGACGCTCTGCTCACTTTCACCACCGCTTTCACTTTTCCCGCGCCTTCCTCCGAGCTCGCGCTGCCCAATACCTCCTATCACTTTGATTATCTTGCAACAACGTCCTGTTCTATTTCTTAGACCAAGCTTGGCCGACTTATCCTTAACCGGTCTACGGACAGCCCACGTACCCGCCATTTCGAGTCGATCTTTTAGTGGCTGCCGAGAGACCCAGGTTCATCTTTAGAATTCAGAACGGCCCTCTTCTTTTCAACCTATTGTACGTTGGCCCCCTTGTCCTGTAGGCTATGAGTTTCTTCTGTGCTATAATCTCGGAATCTGATGGGTGTCCCCGCAGCAAAGCTCTATGGAGGGAGTCCCACCTCAAGATGAACGGGAGAGAGAGCTCTCGCGCGTCCAACATTTTCTCTCGGACCAAGCATTCCATCATCCAAAGGGTGAGAGCATTGGGAACAAGCCCAGACAGCAGAGCCGCCTAGACAAAAACCGGAAGATTATCGACAATGCCACTCAAATTCTTCCCGTTCAAAGCAGCCGCGTTGACGCTGTTCCCAATGTCCGGTCCATTGTCTCTAAGTCGGCGCAGCTGTCAGCTATCGGGACCCATTTTTCGACTTACACGGATGACAACCGGGCCGCCGAAGTGGACCTTGACGACACTAAACTTTAGTGCACCGTTGCAGGGGTACAGTCTGTCAGGAGCGCTACCCGTGCTTTACCGGGTCCCACCTGGCACCAACACCTTGCCTTCCCCGGGCAAGGGTCATCGGTACGTACTAATTTATCTAATCGCAAAATGGTCCGTCGGGGCGTTCGAGTCCTGGGCAATTATTACTGTGCCACTCTACTGCAATGGCAGCTAATGGCCATCAGTCGCCATACACAGGGACAATTTTGCGGATGGTCCATCGAAGTGGAGCAGGAGAAAGTAGAACCAATCGTGTAGATAATGGGAGTGAAGTAGCGTGATTGCTGGGTTCTTGACGGCATTACGGAGAGTACCAATTGTATTTGTTCCCAAAGTCGGCGCTTTCATTGCTTTTGTTCATACCTGCATCGGGTATTGTCTTCTGGTGATGTTGTAATGGTGAAAATTGTTTCCAGTCTCCAACTAAGGTACCTTACCAAAACTTTGATCGCGCAGAGGCTGCAAAAGCTTTTGGTGACCACAGCCCCTCATTCCTTGCACTTCCATTACAGCTCTGTCACACTGGGTCGCCTGCTACATCACCTAAGCTGACGCCACCCCGTCACCAACAGCTAGTAGAGGCGGGTACATAACTTGTACATCTTCTTGTAGACACCTAGCGACCACCCATGCGGCTCATGAACCACACCTTGCCATGACGGCGAGGTGGAGAATCACCAATCAATTCGAAGGCGCTGCCTTGCCGGGGAGCGGCTCTTTTACTTACATTGTTCTCTAGAGCTCGCCAGACACCACAGGCCAAATTACCTCGGCCACAAAAGCACTCTCAACTATCTGAATGAGTTCATCTCATTGAAGACCTCTAAGGCCAGGGAAGCAATTTTCAGCCATGTATCCATCAAGTTCGAGGCTCCCTCTATCAGAGAGAGCTACTTTCCAGCATCAGAGCGATAGTGCGGTATCCTCGGCCTTCCAAGGAGTGCGATTAGGCGGCATAGCAGGTGCCTTACCAAAGTATGATGCAAACCATCTTGCCAGCCACCCAGAGAGTGGGGGGCATCACGGGTTGAAAACAGCAACCGGACCTCAATTGTGTTAGGAGCGTGGGCGATGCCGAACGACTTTCTAGAGAAGAATGATATTGAATTCGATGGGACGGGGGTTTCTCCGAGGACAATGGGCCATGGTCAAGACAGTAAGACAGGGCGTTAAATGCAAATTCATTGATGACGAGGCTTTGGAATCTCCGCTAGGCTTCGTTTATTAGCTCGCAGAAAATTGCTATTCGCCAAATCGCCGTGTTGACTTGGTCTTGTAACTCACCATGCCATGCTCATCCAGTTCTTCGCTGGAATCTTCGCGGTTCCGGGTATTGGGTCCTGTGTGGAAGGCAATGAGACATGCGTATGTTAGCCAAGTCAGCCACGGCCGAGCTGTGCCATTCACGCTAAGGCCAGACTCCCAGGGCTAAAGTTTGCCTGGCGAAGGAAGAACAATAAATACACAGCAAATCTCGGTGTGCCTCAGACTCTATGGGTATCAGGTTCAAAAGTTGTGTTCCCTCGTACCGCCAGTTCTCAAAGTATTTGTGCTTCATCTCTATGATGTTGCAATGGCAGCCCACTATCGCTATATTCATGTCACAAAAAGCGGGCCCACTCAATGTGGGCAGCATTAACCACATCCATGTCTCGTGACAATTCACGACCAGAAATGATTTAAGAAATATCAAGAAGACGGGTCAGCATCTGGCTTCGGGCCATTCTAAGAAAAAGAATAATATAAGTAACGGGAAGTGAAAACATTTGAGAAGGTGTTCTCAATTGTTGATGTTTTTCAAGTCCATAGTCTCTTTCATCATGGACTATTCGGCGACTCTTTGGTTGAAAATACCCATATCAACTCTCAACGCATTCTTTGCAGTTGCCCGGCTGCATAAGATCGGTATTGGATGTCCTAGCATTATCGGTGACTGATGGCTTGGCCTAGCTACATGCTGCATTAGCAAAGACTATCGCTGGCGTACGGAGATAACAGGCCCTGGTGACCTGACTATATGGTCTCGAACAACCATCAGCTCTCCACTAAGAAAACCTCGATACAATAAGTCGGAATTGTTTGGAGAATCTTCTGAAATGGTTTTAACAACTTGAATTCCGATAGTATAGCTACATTTGTCTACTTTTAACATTACGTTCAAATACAATGGAAATCAGTGTGTCTATAGCAAGTAGGATGTTCGACTTTATCCCTAGCTCCAGCCACTGTTTGACTTCCACAGAGAGTCAAAGCGGTAGACCCAGTTTTCGGAGCAAGAGCATCTCGTATTCGAGCAGATAGGGGAGCCTTGAGAGCCTCATTTGCAGAAAACAAACTGGATCGAAGGCTCTACTCGGGTCTATATTGGAATTTTTTCTCTTTCATGGTTTTCCGAAATAGTGGCTACGTTGGCGCCCTATTAAGTCAACATACCCACTTCCTGGCACCCCCCTTGTTTCTGGCACCACAAAAACGATGGGATCACAACCCAACCTCCTCATTACTATTAACTATTGATCCTCAACCACACCCACTACAATACAGCTGCCAGCCTCACTAGGGCATTCAGAGTCGCTGGATTCAGCCGTGATAACCTCCTTTTCACCCGCTTCGATTTGAGCCCGATGGATATCCCTGATGTTCGCGAACTTCGTATTGGGATCG